ACCGCCTGTGTCGCCCGTATCAAAAACCGCTACTGCCCCTGTGAAATGTTGCAAAATCCATAAATAGTGGGTTTAAAAGCTGTGTGTGGCAGTAATTTCTCAGACTCGCTGGTCTTGTTCAGCGTTTTCCAAACTAGACTTACTGGGATGAGTAAATGTGCAGCTCACGTTACTCACCGGGTTCCATAATCCCTTTTTCAAATGAGTCATCTGCCGTTATTACAGGCTGTCACAACAGTGACCATGCAAACGCTGTCAGAGTAATTACACAAATTGAAATATCGTTGCCAACTATTCCGTCAGAAGACTGACAGGAGCAGTATGTAAAGAGCTGTGCAGTGGTTTGCTTTTTAAAATGCAGATTTTATACACATACATTTGGTATAATTCATCATTTACCTAATACAGTTTTTGTAACGTTTCTCATGACGTTTAACATTTCTGAGTAGGAATAAGTAATCGACGTGCACTGAGTTGAAGATGTGAGAAGTTAATGTCCACCTTTCACAAAGTATCTGCCCGTTACAGCTTCTAGGGAAAACAATCCTTCTTTTCTTTCTTTTCTTTTTGTGAAGCTTGAAAAAATGGAGAGCCAGAGTCAGGTTTTGGAAAGGCTGCGCACAGCGTTTGAATCGCGTGTTACAATACCGGAGAAGTTTCGCAGGACACAGCTGACCAACCTAATGTCCATGATCAAAGACAACGAGGAGCAGATTGTAAATGCGCTGCACAAAGACCTCACAAAGGTACAGGACTGTGCTCACGTGTTCCACACAAAGCATGAACACATGACTGTAATTCTCCAACACATAATTACGCAACTAAAGCCTCAGGCTTTTGTTTGTCTTGCTGTCATGATGATTTTGCAATCATGACAATTTGTTTTAAAGCCCGTAATACAACTGTACGGAAGTGGTTAACATCTCCTTTAAAAAACATTAAAGTGAGAATAGTTTAGTGAATTTAATCGATAAATCCAATGGTTTTATTAGTAGATTATTCATTGTTGTCTGCTGTTCTTAAATAAGCACTAATTGTCTTGCTGTTGTTGCTGTCGTTGCACAATAGCCAAAATTTGAGGCTATCCTGTCTGAGGTTGAAATAGTGATGAACGAGCTCCATTGCGCCCTCAGTAACCTCACAAGCTGGATGCAGCCGGAGTATGTGAGCAAAAACTTGGTAAGTTAAAAAAAAAAAAGACTTATTAATAGTGTGTGTGCGACCAAATAAAACAAAAAAGGAAACATTACACAACTGTTTTCATGGCCCAAGTAATACTCCTCATGTCAAACAAGTTGAACCTCTTGTGTCCTCGCAGTCTTTTTCCTGCAGAGAGAAATCCCTGGCACCTCCCAGAGAGATTTCAGGCAGTGCCAAAGGAAATTCACCACTGCAGAATGATGAGAATGAATGTAGCAACTCCACTCTGAACGTATTTATTAGGAAATCACTGTTAAACAAAGAGCACAGACTGAAATACGACGTGTGCTGCGCTTTCTATTTTTTGCAAGATGAAATTTATGGCCAGTGCCTCATTGGCACATATAGTTTTCAGACTGTTTTTAATGTTAAATTTATAAAATGTATATGTCTAGCATTTACTGACAGCAATCCAGAATATCTTCATATATCTATGCATGTCCTGCATTTTGAAAAGCATTTTCTTGCTGCATAATTTATTTTGTAATGTTTTCTGTTGTTCAGGCCACAAAGCTTGATGAATGTTTTGTACGGAGGGAACCTTTAGGAGTTGTGTTGATCATCGGGCCATGGAACTACCCCATGCAACTTCTCATCGTACCCTTGATTGGAGCCATTGCTGCAGGTAGTTCCACAAACACGCTTTTAGCAAAACTAAATCCTGAAGGCAACATTAAAATTGATGACAATAATGTAATCACAGGTACCTTGAGTGAGGTGACTTCAGAGATTTAATGCTAGCTCAGGAAAAATGTAACTGGGAGGGGCGTGGTGGTGTGACATGTGAATACCTCACAGGAGCGCGCTGAACAATCTGCAGACGTCTTAGGGATGTTTTGAAGTTCAATAATTCAAATGTGATGAAATAAAGGGATGACTAACAGTTCATAGACACAGTGGAACTCAACTTGGTAATATTTCTAAAAGTAAGAGCGAAAGTTTTAAAGTGAGCTGACAGAATTTGCAAATATGGCAACGAGTCCTAGAGTCCACCTTGAATGATTTTATAGACTTCACGTGCCTTTACATGCTGCCTGTTGTTGATGTCTTTGATTAGGAAACTGTGTGGTCATCAAGCCCTCCGAAGTCAGCGCCGCCACAGACAATCTGATAACGGAGCTCATCCCCAAATATCTGTCTAAGGTGAAATAACTGATAATATCAACCAGAAGTAACAGACAAATGAGTTTTTCACAATTGTTATGAATAGAGATGGGCACAGTGAACGT